TATTTTTTTTTTTTTTTTTTTTGATATAATGATTCTTCTTGCGTTGTGCTACAATTTTCTCGGCTGGAACGTGTGGTTTTTCCTTTGTTTTACTGCATAATGCTAATGAAACTGAGAAAGTTGCGATCCCATTAGCCTGCTTTTTGGTTGATTTGATAATTTGATTTGAAAAGCCAAGGATTTGATTTTTGGCTGGCTCGTTTTTCTTTTAGCAAGAGGAGAAAATGAGTAACTAGAAAGAATTTTGTTTCTACATATTTAATTTTTTACTGATGTCCGTTGCAGTTTGTCTGCAATATGAAGCTTCAAAGGTTATGTTATTGCCTGGGTTTGAATGTACCTTTGCTAAAGCAAGTTTTCAAGAAGTTGCTTTTTGACTTTTTTTCAGGGATTTCTTTATAAAATCATTTCTTTCTGTAATGATTTTTCTGGCATAATTGAGGCGCGTGAAAACAAGTAGCTCGGAGAAGTGATCGCCACCCCAAGTACTTTGCCAAGTTCACCTTTAAATTGAATTTCATTTTTACTTTTTGTGAACGCTTCATGCTTTGTTCTTCTTTTTGAAATATTTCCTGTAAATTTAAAAAGAATATTTTTTGCTATGTTTTGAAACATTGGATTCTGTGAGTAGCAATTCTAGATTCCCTGATAAATCATCTCTAATTCTATTTTTCATACTTTGGGTTTTTTATTTTGTCTTCTTTTTCAAATTTCTTTGATCCTTCACCCCTTTTTGCTCTTGCTGCATTCACACTGAAGATCCTCACTAAATTTTCCAGGAAAGAGCCAGGTCTTCAAGTCTCACCAGCAGCAGATTGCATGCCTGCATTACATGTTGGATGAGCTATGTGATATGGTTTATACCACTTCCTTCATCAAATTGAGTTAGGAGATCTTTTCTTATCTTATGTAAATGTCATCATCTCTTCTGTTGATTCTCCCTCTTTTTTGGTTACTCTGTAGTATAAAAATAGAAACAGTACTGATGGTTCGGTAAAATGAATTCAGAAATCGTAGTTCACACTTAAGTTGAATTAGGAGTCCTTTAGGCAAGGTTTGGAAACTTGATAATATTTTAGCAGAAGAAATGTCTAGAGAAACTGAATCCAGAAGGAGGTCACCTAGTCCCGTTGCCAAATTGATGGGTCTGGATGGGATGCCAGTGCCGCATCAGCAGTCTTATTGTAAACAACAGAAGAAGACAGAAGGGAACTATTTGCAGAGGACGATATCACCTGAAAAATCTCAAAGGCGTGTTGCAACTGACGATAATAAGCTGCTGTATGCACGAAGTTCAAGGCATCAGCAAAAAATTAAGGATGTGTTTGAGATACAGGAAACTTCAATGAAGGGAAGCAGCAGTTTCTCAGTACCGAGAACTGCTAATCTGAAGCCTGCCCGAGCAGATATGGAATTTATTCATAAGAAGTTCATGGATGCTAAACGTCTTGCAACTGATGAGAAGCTACAGGGTTCCAAGGAATTTCATGATGCATTTGAAGTGCTGGATTCAAACAAGAAACTTCTACTGAAATATCTCCAGCAGCCAGACTCTCTGTTCATGAAGCATCTGCTTGACATTAATGATGTTCTTCCCCACTCTAATTGTTCTCATGCGGTAGCTATGAAATCATCAGATGATGAGAATGATGGCTGCTATAACTATGGTAGGCAGTCAGTGAGGAGAATTCCACGAAAGAAGCGCACAAAACCTTGCAAACATTTTAGTGGTCATATGAGCTCCTTTGATGGTAATTGTGTTGCCAAAAATTCTGTGCGGAGTACAAGAATTAAATTAGAAGATGATGAAAGATTGGCTGTCTTCCCAAAAAGAATTGTTGTCTTGAAGCCAAAACTTGGAGAGGCACAGAATTCTGCCAGCATTGTTATACCGTCCTCACATGTTTTTCAGTCTGGTTGTAGGAAGCCATCAGACTCTGAAAGGACAGAGAACAGGGGGGTGGAAACCTTGAGAACTCATGATCATGATGTAGGGCAAAGTCACGAAGTTAGATATTCTAAAGAAATTTCCAAGAAGAAAACTAGGCAAGTGAGAGAGAATTTTGATTCTAGTTCCATGAGTTCATCTCTTGGAATAACAAGACAGGATAGGTATGGAAGTCCTTTCATTGGGAATGATTTAGATGCTGAAAAATGCAATTCCAGTTACAAGTTTGACTTAAATGGTCAATGCCGGTCTTCATCATTTCGTTATAAAAAGTCATCGCTGAGTGCAGAGGCTAAGAAGAGATTGTCAGAAAGGTGGAAAACGACTTGTGACTACCATAACATGGGTATCGTTTGTAGGAGTCGCACACTGGCTGAGATGCTTGCCATGCCTGAGAAAGAAACAATTCCTGCGTATATGGAACCAAGGCATGGTGGAGGATCCAGTGGTAAACTTTTGAATGATCAACGCACTGAACCTTTGGGCATAAGCAGTAGGGATGGCTGGAAGGACATCTGCGTAGAAAAATTGTATAGGTCTAGATCTCTTCCTGCTTCATCATCTGCCTTTGAGATTTTTAAAACAAATTCCGATTCTCTGAGCATGGATCAACTTGTGATACCAAATGAGGCCCTCAAGTGGCAAAGAAAGGAGGCAATTAGGGAGAGTTCGTGCCAAAGGGAACGTATATCCCGCAGAAGCTCCAGATCTAGGAGAAAGAAATCTCACAGTTCTACCTGTTCATTTGGGGAATGTAATAGCCCTGTACTGGAGATTTGCACTAGTCAGAATCAAGACAGTGATTGTAATGACAATGATCCAGCCGAAAGAAATCTTCAGGTTGTTGAAGAATCAACATTTCTTCCTGTGACAGGCCCGACTCAAGTTCTTGAAAATTGGATGGATTTGAGAGTGAATTCCGATGAAGTGATTGTATTGTCTAATGATGAACTTCAACCTGAATTGTCTGTTCATTCAGTGGTAGAAGATAATTCTTGCTTTGGTGACCAAGATTCTTTTATATCTAAGGTTTGCCTTCAAATATTCTCACTGTACATTTCAAGATATTTTGACCATGAAATCTTGCACTCAACAATTTTTTCCCAGCTAAAACATTTTTTCATATCCAGGAATTGTCGCCTGAGGCTTCTGAGGACACTTCGTGCCATCTGAAATCTGTTCCTGGATTAGAATCTCCCGTAAGCTCAAAGGAGGCTGATCAGCCAAGTCCAGTTTCAGTTCTGGAACCTCCTTTTACGGATGATCTACCTCCTGGTTCTGATTGCTTTGAGAGTCTCAATGCTGACCTCCATGGTAATTACATAAGATTATATTCTCCTTTTGGCATTTCTTGAATTGATTTGGCAGATGAAATCAACCTAATTTTGAAGTAATTGAAACTTGCTGCCTGTTATTCAAGAATGATTTTATTCAAAACATGAACATATTGAACTGTGCTTCAAATTTGTCCATGGTATTGCTGTTAAACTTACTGAAGGTCAATTGTGTGGTTGTCATCTGTAACTGTACAAGATGTTGGACCAAATCATTATCTTTATAGGTAGTGCAATAGTTTGCTTTTCGTTTTAGTTCTCCAAATTTAGCTGGACTTTAAAAGGATGGAAAGGAAAGAATAAAACTATTGAATGGAGTGATCAAGTCTTCATTCAACAGAGACAAGACAGAGATGGATATGATATGATATGATATGATAAGTGAGGAGTACAAAGCCGCCATATTTTATATATTCCTGGATTTCATTCTGCTTTCAGTCGTAGACTCAACATATCTGAATAATATATTCATATATCAAGCCTTGAATGCACATCTGAATCCTACGTTCTGAAATGCCTAAGATCTCCCTCAAGTGTTCTGAAAATGAGTACTAGCCAGGCCTTTGGAGATTTTAGAATCTATGGTTTGGCTATCTTTGGTTTTCTTAAGCTGGAAAAGTTTTAATTCATTCTCTCTCATGAATACAGGGCTTCGAATGCAACTCAAGTTACTCAAGTTAGAGACAGAAGCTTTTACTGAATCTGAAGAAACCCAGCACATCTCGAGTGACGAAGATGGAGAGGAAGAATCCATTGGGTTTCCAGAGGAGAAATATGCATGTAAAACTGAAGATAGCTGGGAGCTTTCATATCTAGCCGATGTCTTACAGAACTCAGCTTTCAAAGATACCAATCCCGACATGCTTATCGCAACGTGGTATTCTCTTGAATGCCCCGTAGATCCTTCTACATTTGAGGAGCTTGAGAAGAAGTACATGATTTGGTCTTCTCAACCAAGGTCAGAAAGAAAGCTACTTTTTGACCGTATAAATTTAGGAATTTTGGATATTTACCAAAAATTCACCGACCCTTATCCATGGGTAAGGCCCCCAACAATTCAAGTTGAGAATAACGAAGGGCTCTACAATACTTTGTGTAAGTTTTTAGCTAAGCAAGAGAAGAAAGTAGATGAAGACATTGTAGAGAAAGTGGTGGGAAGGACAACTCAATGGTTAGTGTTGGGGCATGATGTTGATGTAGTAGGCAAGGAAATTGAGAGATTATTGGTAGACGAACTCATAGACGAGGTAGTTGACATGTGTTCATAGATCATGTAGCTTTCATATAATTTCTCTGTTGAAATAAGATATCAAAGCCTTTAAACGGAATGTGAATACCCGTTTCATGATTAAATGCTGCATCTTTTAGACTTAGAAGGATGCATAAAACCATGTCTATGTTAAATCCTAGCTAAGTTCAACATTTTTTTTATGGTTTAGATAAGTTTAGAGTTAAAATTTTCACCTTTTGATCTTATATGGCATCTTACATAAGGATCATATGACAATGTGATTTTAGCTATAATGGCTAAACATTACCGTTAGTCTATGACCCTTACCAAGAGCCATTCAATGAAAGGTTTAAACAACAGCTTCCCATAACCATATTCTGGGGAATATATACATTTTTTTTGGAGAAGACCAACCTCATCAGATAATTAAGGCTTTGGGAATAGAAAAGGCATGCCTGTATTGGATTTACACCAAGGCCATGGGGAATCGAATTCCCTTTCTTTAAGAATAACTTAGTGGTCTCTTTCCCAATAGTTTTGATTATGAGATGCCACTCTTTTCCTTATTGAAAGCTCAAAACTTCAAAAGTAACAAGGGAAAGAGAGAATTAGAACTTGAAACTTCTCAACAGCATGCTCTAGAATCCCAACCTTTTTTGGTAGATGTACAGTAAACTCAACTTTTTCAAACAATAGATAGGATTAACCAAGCTGGTTTTCTGGCATTTCTGTGGTGGCTGATGTTGAAGCCACCGTTAACGCGGTGGATGGTGGTGGCTGTGGTGGCGTAGTCGGTGGGGGCGGTGGTGGTGTTGGCTGTTGAGAAGTCCAAAACTTAGCGTGCTTCAGCTTTGATACACTTGCCAAAACTCCCACTGGTGTTACATCTCCTTCTATTGTCACTTTCTTGGCTGCAGAGTCTATGTTGAAGGATGTAACTCCTGCTTGCAGAATTAGAAGTGAAATCGGTCTCATACTTAGTCGATCGGGTCAAGCGTAAAAACATCAAATCTTAGAGAAGAGCGTATTCTTAAAGAATACAAATTTGAAAAGAATCGTATTCTTAAAGAATACAAATTTGAAAAGAATCGATAGATTAAGTGTATTCTATAGGGAAGCTTTAGCATACCTTCCATTTTTGAAAGATGTTTCCTGACTTTCCCTTCACAGCCTTTACAGTGCAGTGACACCATCAAGACCACAACCTGCGACCAAAACCAAAACCAAACATCTCTGTTTAAGAAAAAGACAGCCATTAACTTCTAGAATGTTAAAACCAGTTACATTGTTTCATGCTTTTCTTTTTCCTGTCATATTACTTCTTTATAAAGGTTAGCAATGTGGCAAACCTGTTTGGTAGGAGTTGGTTTGGGCTGCTGAGACAATGTTTCTTGAGTTGTTGAAGTAGACCCATCTTGGTTTACGTCAGTTTTGAGTTCTTGGTAATCGTCAGCTGGGACGATATCGTAAACAGGGTCGGTCTCCGGTAACCTGTCGAAGAATTCTGATTGTGAATCACTTCCAAGTAGGTATCTGGAGGAGCCAGCTGGTGGTGGAGCAGGAGGAGCGATCAGATCGTTCAGCTTAGCAAAGCTCCTTGTAACAATATCAGTTGGAATGAAGGAGCTCTTTTTCAAAGTATCAGTAGATGGAAGAGTATGACAATCTTCTTTCTCTTCATTTTCTTGTTTCACTGATGGGATTTTGTTCTTGGTTCTTCTGTTACCTTTTGAAGAGGTTTTCTTGCTCTTTGTGAGTTGATGGTGAGGTTGGGGACTGAAAGGCGGTCGAGTGAAATCACGAGGAGGCGTTAAGAGACTGTTGGGGGCAGTGCTGTTTCTTCTTCCATCACAGATGATGGGATTGTGGCGGTCGAGAGCACGACCGCCGAGCTGAATAGCGGGCGAGGAGGGGAAGGAGGAGGATGACGAGGAGGCTTCCTCAATTTCCATGCTTGAGCATATGGCTGTTGAAGCTTGGGATGCACAGAATATATCTGTGCCTTCCATCTTTTGACAATGATTTATGTGTGTATGTATGAGGGAGAGAGAGAGAGGGAGGGAGAGAGAAATGGTTTGGCTGGAAGAATCTGAACCTATAGGAGAAGAGAGAGATGAGTGAGAGCTTTTACATATAGGAGTTTGTTCTTTTCTGGTTTTCAGCTATATTCTTTTTAGAGGGAGAGATAATAGCGGTTCAAGTCCACCACCGGTAGATATTGTCCTTTTCGAGCTTTTCCTTTAGGCCTTTCCCTCAATGCTTTAAAAATGCGTCTACTAGAGAGAAGTTTCTACACTTTTATAAAGAATGTTTCGTTCTCCTCCCCAATCAATGTGGAATCTCACAATCCACCTCCTTTTGAGGTCTAGTGTTCTCGTTGGTACTCGTTCCCTTTCCAATCGATGTAGGACCCTCCAATCTACCTCCTTCAAGGCTCAGCGTACTTGCTGGCACATCGCCTCGTGTCCACCCTCTTCGAGATTTAGCCTCCTCTGGCACATCACCATGTGTCTAGTTCTGATACCATTTGTAATAGCTCAAGCCAACCGCTAGTAGATATTGTCTTTTTTGGATTTTCTCTTCTAGATTTTTTCTCACGCGTCTATTAGGAAGAGGTTTCCACATGTTTATAAAAATTGTTTCGTTCTCCTTCCTAATCCCAACCGAAACCGATGTTTAGAGAGAGATTGATTATTGTTTCAAGTTTTTATTTCTTTTGTCCAAGATTCAATATGGTAATGAGCAGATACTGAGCCAAAGAAATTATGGAGTCAGAGCAAGTAAAATTATAAGTGGGAACTATAGTGTTTTATTTTATCAGCCTGACCCTGCAGAATTTATTTGATACGTCCAACAAAATCATGTCTTCAATGGAACTTTCTGATGAAATTTACAGAAAATTCAATCCATGTGTTGAATGCTCTGTGGAGTGAAAGCAACCAAACAAGTATCAGACTATATGACAACAGTAACTTGTCTCCTTGCAATTACTCTTCAAACAACATTGTCTGATTCACCTCCGATCAACGTTATAGAAACAATTCGATCATCGACCGTGACAGCAACTGTAACAGCTTAAGTCTACTACGAGCAGATATTGTCATCTTTAAGTTTTTCCTTTTGAATTTCTCTTCAAAGTTTCTAAAACATGTCTTTTAAGTTCTTCAACCGAGGTGGGATCTCACTATACAATTGCTAATGTTGCTACCATCTTACGATGTTCCAATGATTTCAAAGAGTCCATTTTCGGGTATTACTTTGATTGTACTAATTAGAAGGTTATCAATCAAACTCGAACCACCCAAACAGCTAAAAAGGGAAGGTGGGAAAGAGAGGGAATTTCTTTTTTTTTTTTTTTTTCCTTGTGATGGAAAGTATTAACCTCAAAGCTACTTTTTTGCTTCTTTGTTTCTAATATGAAGCCCTGGAGTTCCCTTTCTGTGGCTCATGGGAATCAGATGCTGATAGTATTGGCTTTCATTTGTTTTTCATTTTATTCCTTTTTTTTTTCACATAATGGCAACCCATATCTATCAATATAATGTGTTTCTTCACCATTTCATTCAATGCCAACCTATCCTTGGTCCACTTTGTTCTCTTACCATTCCCCTTTTGTGTTAAAACCGAACGATTAATAAGTTTGTTTATGCAAATTGTGGTCTACTAGTTATATGGGTACTTTTTTTTAGTTCCAGGGCATCTGACATATGGCCTCCTGTCTTAACTAATTAAACTGTAATCAGATTGGTCGATTATGTGAGTTCATACTTAAAACCCGACTTATTAATACATTCTACTGTGCACTTGGATTGACTTTCAAGATGTAATTGTACATAAAAAAAGGAAAGTCAGCTGCATAAATGTCTCAATTTTCTACCTTAGTGTTTCATGCTGGTTTGAATTTTAACATAGCGCAATGGAGAGAGTCAAATCCACAAAAGTAGCCTTTAACTTTCTTATAGAGAGATGGTAGAATCAAGAATGATGTTATCTCAAATTTGACACCCTTTAAAATATTTGTTTCGTTTTCTACACTTTATTTTTGTGGGGAATGGAATCTGTTCTCTCTTTTTGGATAGAATTGGATTCTTGTACATGAAAACAAAGGTTTTAGGATGCTTTGGGTATCAGATCCCAATGCGTCCAATCATCAAAAGCTGCGTGTTCAATTACCCATTACTCTTTTGAAGGAAAAAAGAAAGGCACAGAAGATATCATTTCGCTATTGGTCCAAATATTTGTCCCAAAAAGTTAATTCTCTCTCAAGCTTCAAGCTTACCGTGTATTACCGACACCCTCACGATTTTAAAATGTGTCCGTTAAGGATTGATTTCTACACCCTTCTAAGAAATGTTTTGTTCCCCTCTCCAACCGATATGAGATCTCACAATCTACTTATTGGAGACCCATGTGTTTTGTTCCCCTCTTCAACCGATGTGAGATCTCACAATCCACCTACGGAGGACCAATGTGTTTTGTTCCCCTTTCCAACTAATGTGAGATCTCACAATCCACCTACTGGGGACCAATGTTCCACCGTCCGATGTTTGGCTCTGATACCATTTGTAACAGCCCAATTTCACCACTAGTAGATATTGTCCTCTTTGGCCTGTCACATATCGTCGTTAGCCTCACAATTTCCTCTCCAACCGATATGAGATCTCACAATCCACCCACTGGGGACAATTTTCTCTCCAACTGATATGAGATCTCACAATGCACCCACTGGGGACAATTTCCTCTCCAACTGATCTAAGATCTCACAATCCACCCACTGGGGACAATTTCCTCTCCAACTGATCTGAGATCTCACAATCCACCCACTGGGGACCAATGTTCCACCACCTGATGTTTGACTTTGATACCAATTGTAACAGTCCAAGTCTACCGCTAGTAGAAATTGTCCTCTTTGACAGCCCAAGTCCATCGCTAGTAGAAATTGTCCTCTTTGGCCTGTCACATATCGTCGTCAGCCTCACAATTTCCTCTCCAACCGATGTGAGATCTCACAATCCACCCACTGGAGACTAATGTTCCATCGCCCAATGCTTGGCTCCGATACCATTTGTAACAGCCCAAATCCACTACTAGTAAAAATTGTCTTCCTTGGCCTGTCACATATCGTCATCAACCTCACAATTTTAAAACGCGTCTACTAGGGAGAGGTTTCCACACCCTTACAAGGAATGTTTCGTTCCCCTCTCTCACATTTCTCCTCTATATCTGACGTGGAATCTCACAAAAACTAACCTAGCAGAAACATTCGTGAAAGTAAAACATGATTGCACCACAATAGGAGTAGTTCAATTTAAAGGCTAAAATCTAATCTAAAACGTGGAATTATCTTAAATTTGAACCTCTGATGCCATATTTGTCAAGACTAATATAATAAGTACCAGAAAACAATACATCATTGCAAAAAGTTAGTATATCTTCAACTAAACAAAAGTTTACAAAGCATGTTTTTGTAAGTTCTCAACATTTAATAAAACAATATATTACCATTCACTACAGCTCCACAAATTCCCAATCATTTCAATAAGATTCAACCACCGCATCACCAGCAATAAAGTTGAAATCATTCACCAAACAAACAAAGAAATGAAAGGGAAATTCATACTAGATGGCTGTGTGAAGCAAAACTTCAAGAAACAGTTCCACACCATCATCATATCATTCATGTTGACAAATACAATATACGAATGTGATGTATTTGCAGCGATACATCTATGAAGTGTAATGGGGCAAGTGAGAGTGACATGCCCAGAGAGGACATTCAATGCCCATACAAACAGATAGGCCTGCTTCTAAAAACCGTACATCAGGTTGCCGAAGCGTGCTCGGTTAAGAAAACAAAGCATCTGGCCGAGAAGACCGACCTTTTCACCAACAGCATAGATCTATTGGATAAAATGCATTGAAAAGAACACAAATAAATAGGGATGTGGCACTCAAGCTTGTAATGAAGAGCAAAAAACCTTTATGTTCCTATAGTGAAATGATGCTAAGTTTTTAGAGGATATTTGAACAATGAATGAATCAATCAAAAAGATTCAGTCGGTTCGCACTATACATACTTGTCGAATTCCTAGCAATTTTCTTCATTAGAAACCTTTCCCTTCATCTTCAATCAAAATGCGCTTCTGGAAGTCGCTCACCATGAGAGGCAGTCCTTCTCTCAGGGCGACCTTGGGCTCCCAGTTGAGCAATGACTTTGCTTTGCTAATGTCAGGTTTTCTCTTGTGAGGATCATCAGCAGTATTTGCTCTAAACTCTATTGTCGCACTTGGATCTATAGTTTCTTTGACAACCTATACAACCAGGACACAAAAATATGTTGAAACTATAGCTACAGAATCTCTCTCCTTCTCTCTCTCTCTCTCATGGAGAAGTGCACATGCAAATACTCAATACACTACTTGCAAGCAAGGTAAGGTTCACATCAGCCAGCTCAAGCATGCTAAATTCCTTTTTACAAACATGAAATGATCTGAAAATCCAGAAATAATTAGATTAACGAGTCGATCGGGAAAACAAACCTCAGCCAGCTCAAGCATGGTAAATTCTCCTGGATTACCCAAGTTGAAAGGCCCTACATGTTCACCTTCCATTAGCGCGACCAGTCCGTTAACCTGTCATTGGAGATCATTTCCAAGGTCCTCAATATATGTTCTTGAAACCACAAGATCATTTTAGAAGTAGTGCTGCCCAGTTTAGATCTTTCAAGTCAAGTTCCCAACCGATGCCCTTACACATATACTAACCACAGAAATAACAATTCAAGCATCTAACCTTCATGGAAATTAAATGGAAAGACAGAAAAGAACCAGAAGATGTTTAACTGATTATATTTCTACAAACAAAAGTCAATATGCCATACCAAGTCAGAGACATATTGAAAGCTCCGTGTTTGCTTTCCATCACCATAAACAGTCAATGGCTGTTTGCGGATGGCCTGAACAATTACTAAGAGCATTAGAGAACATATTTTAAGCATTGATCGCGATCAATTCCTGAACAAATCTTACATAGGGGGATGGGAAAATTCAAGGGAGATGTTTAACCTGTGCAACAAAGTTGCTAACAACACGCCCATCATCTAAACACATACGGGGTCCGTATGTATTAAAAATACGAGCAATTCGAACCTGCAAAGAGAAAATCTCACCACTTTTCAAACAAATGTGGAAACTGCAAGAGATTAATCCCATTAAAAAAATAATAATAATAATACAACGATCCCTTTTCTTCATGTTCATTGTAAGCATTATAACAGCAGCTAATGGAATACAACTAAACATCAGAGTAATTACCTCAACTTCAGCACCTCTATGATAATCCATAGCTAAGGTCTCTGCAGTTCTCTTGCCCTCATCATAGCAGCTTCTCTCGCCTAAGAATTACAAGTTATTTTCAAAAAATTGTAACTCTGACGCAAATATAGAACGAACTGCTCATGTTATATATATGAATTGCACTCTACCTATGGGATTTACATTTCCCCAATATGTTTCCTTCTGAGGATGCTCAAGTGGATCACCATAAACCTCACTCGTACTCGTAAGTAGAAATCTAGCCCCAATTCTCTTTGCCAAGCCAAGCATATTCAAGGTACCCATTACATTTGTCTTGTGATAAGCAGTTAAGGATGTCCAGACAAAAACATTAGATTTCTAACAGAAAAATTTCTTCCTAAAATGCAACATAGTACACAACGAGCAAGAACTTGAATATGAAACTTCAGAAAAAGGATATAATAGTCTTGACAGGATTGTACTTGTAATGAACAGGAGAAGCTGGACAAGCCAAGTGATAGATTTGATCCACCTCCAAAAGAATTGGCTCAACCACATCATGTCGAATGAGCTCGAATCGTGGATTTCGCAAATGATGCACCAAATTCTCCTTTCTACCAGTGAAGAAGTTATCAATGACAATCACATCATCCCCTCGTTCAATTAGCTTATCCACAAGATGACTTCCCACAAATCCAGCTCCACCGGTGACAACAATCCTCCACCTCCGGCGGCCAATACCGACGGGGATTCTGCCTCCCGTTTTACCAAATCCATATATCCCCGACCCCGAAACCTCGTCTCTGCTCGTCAAACTTGTAGAAAACGATCTGCGAATTGCAGAACCAGCTTCAGAGGGGCCAATACGGGACAGAGTGGGCTGGAGAATGAAAAACGTAGAGCCAATTAAAATGCCGACAAAAACAAACAGAAGCCTCTGCTCTCGGAACAGGTAATTGATGGATCTAGGCAGAGATCTGGGGTGCTTGAGAGCTTTTGGCGAATACGGCGATGTTGAAACCGTCGAAACTTCTTCATCCCGCCGGTGATTGATGCTGGATTGCTTATGGAGCTGTTTGATGCTCTGCATTGCTCAATGGCGCGTCGCTGAAATCGATTCACAGTAGCTTCTGAATGTGATTACAAATCAAGACAACGAGAAGTCGAGTAGGGAGTTTCCTAGTAAGAATTTTCAGAAATTTGGATGCATAATTGAAGTGTTATGAACCTTAAGATCGAATTTCAACCATTCGGTACCTAAGAGATCACCAAAATTTCCCATCTGGATTAAAGCGTTAGGTAATTGTAACTGTGAACAGTGCCCTAACTTTAATTCATCCAAACCAACACTTTGACGAAAATACCCTTCCTCCAAAATTTTCACGCTATTCTTTTCTAACATTTCCCCTAATTTTTCATTAATAAATAAATTATAAAAAAAAAGTGGAAAAAAATCAAATATTATCATAAATTTGTCTACAAATAAACATTAATCGATTAATATTTATAAATAAAAAAAATCATTAAAAATAAATATTCTTACCTACTTTTAATGAATTATATAATATATGCATCTAACACTAATGTCATTTTTTTAAAAAAAATATTAATTTTTTATAAATATTATTTAATAGTTAATTTGTCCACGAACTTTATTATATTATTGAAATTATTATTCTATAATGTTTTTGTTAAAATTAATAGGTAATTTTTACATAATAAGTTTAGGATAATAATTAAATTTTGCTATATAAAAATATTTTTATCCTTAATTAATATTTTTCTTTCATATTTAAATTAAATTTTTGTTTAGTTTTTAATTTAATTTTCAATTGTTTGGTGCTCACTAAATAAATAAAATATAATTATTACATTATTACATTAGAAAATTAGTTAATTTTAATTACTTATAGCTCATTATTGAATTTGAATTAATAAATTAGATATTAATAATGGATAAAGTAATTAATTCGTTATAAATAATAAACAAATAATTAGTTACATATTGAACACGGTTTTTTACTAATATAATTTAATTCAACCTAATTAGCTTACTAAATATTTTTAACTAATTAACTATTAATTTTAGTTAATAATTAATTTCATTCATTTAGTAAGCTTTTATATGTAAAAATGAATTAGATATAAAATTTAAATAAATTATTATTGATTTATTCTAATTCATTAATTACTTATCTTAATTTCAACTCGCTAATTAAATAATTAAGTATATTCATACAATAACAAATTAAAATAAAAAGAAAATTAAGAAAGCATATTGAGTATTGAATACCCTTGCACAGGTATCACAAACTCGAGCTCATTTCTGTCTCCAAATTTCTTGCACCAAACAACCCCGAAAGGGTCGGCGAGAAGTATTGGATTAATTCTAACTTTAACCTCGAGTTGTCAAAATTTTCAAAAAGTGAGGTTTCATGGCTTCAAGGACGAGCAGGAAAATTCAAATCTTCGACCTCGGTTAAGGTTTTTTAACACAGTGTACTACTATCGATTCTACAAAGGACATACAGCAAGAAAACAACATAGAATGTTACCTTACTTAAGTAACTGGTATTTGAGTTAGGTTGTGCCTACCAATCAAGACAGGAGAAAGGGTCGATCAGTTTTAAGGCACAAGCCACCAACCTAAGAAGGTTTTTATAGCATAGATCAAAATAGCGGGACTTAACCCAACACCTTACGACACGAGCTGACTGAATAGCGGGACTTAACCAAATACCTTACGGCACGAGCTGACAACGCACGCACAAGGCAAATACAGATCATCATATTATATTAATAAATCTATTGCAGTATCTTTCTTGGGAACCTACACTCCTCAATTCATTTGTATTCATGCAAGACAACATCAGCCAAAGAGGAAGACAATAAACAGAGTAACTCTTAACTGAAATAACTGAAGAGCTTTTACTTGCAACTGCTAGCTATAAAAGCAACACCATTACATCCAGAAAACAAACTAGATAGTCTCGAGCTTTAACCGTTCATTTCGGTTTTCCCCTTATGTTCATTACTTCGGTGATTCTTGCTCGGCGGAGAAGGAGTTGCCATATCTCGTGCTTCGGTTTTGGTTTTTGTTGAGTGATATTATAGAAACTGAGAATGCTTACAGTGAGCTATAGCTCCTTCGATGGAACGTGCCATCTCCGAGCTCGCACTGTTGCATCTCTTCAGTATTTGTGGATCCAACGTGCCACTCGAGGTTAAAGAAGAAGACAGTGATGAAGAACCGGAAGAAGATTCCGAGGCTGGACAGGAAGGTTTAGCAGAGAATGAGGCTCTCCTCTGGCTTCTATCTTTGTCAAATAATGTAGCTCTAAAATGATCTCTTTCAAAGCCTAATTCGTTTCTTTTTGTCCTATTTTCGGATAATTTCGCGCAGGACTCGTCCGAACAGGCAGACTTATTGAAGAGGGACCTGATATACGCTCGTGAGGCCTTAAGTTTCCGAAACAAAGCGGACTGCCTAATCTGTCTAGGATTTTGGTGGCTTCCCATTTCAGTATTTGTCCAATGCTCGACGGGTTTTAGCTCAAAACCAAACCTGCAAGACTCGGCAGGAGGAAAATTAAAGGAATCGTGAAGGGTGTAAATGCTTGCGTTAGCAGAGGAGCTAGAGCGAGGTTCGGTTTCATGGTGAGCATTGGAGTTTTGAGCGTGACGTGGGAGTTGAAGGGGAAGAAGTTTTCCGTTGTAAAAAAGCTCATCGGCGTGGGAAATGGCGGTTTCTCTTCCAAGAGAAACCGAGCTCATTTGAAACTCGAACTCTTTGGTTTGAGGTGTCGAGTTGAGAGAGTAACAGAAGTTGGAAGAGGAACTTATATCCCATTCTATATAATCCTCTGTGTAAGTACAAGAAAATTGCCCAATGGCCATCTCTACCTTCAGGAAGTGATGCTCTTTCAAATGAAGATGATCTGAATTTATAGTGAACCATTCAATGCATAAACCTTAGATATTTTGAATACAGCCAATAAGAGAATGGTTAGTCTATTTAATAGAATAAACCCACAAACCCACCGCTAGCGGATATTGTCCTCTTTGAGTTTTTTCTTTTGGGCTTTCCCTCAAGATTTTAAAACGTGTCTACTAGGGAAAGGTTTCTACATCCTTATAAAGAATGTTTCGTTCTCCTCTCCAACTTAGGTGGGATTTCACAAGGGGAGGGCCAGTGTCCTCGCTGTCACACCGCCTGATGACTGGCTCTGATACCATTTGTAACAACCCAAGTCCACCGCTAGCAGATATTGTCCTCTTTGAGTTTTCCCTTCTGGGTTTTCCCTCAAAGTTTTAAAAGCGGGCGTTGACCCACTGCCCGATGACTGGCTCTGATACCATTTGTAACAACTCAACCCCACTGCTAGCAGATATTGTCCTCTTTGAGCTTTCCTTTCTGGGTTTCCCCTCAAGGTTTTAAAAAGACGCTGACTGGCTTTGATACCATTTGTAACAACCCAAGCCCACGGCTAGCAGATATTGTCCTCTTTGAGCTTTTCCCTTCAAGGTTTTAAAACGCATCTACTAGGTGAGGTTTCTACATCCTTATAAGAAATGTTTCGTTCCTCTCTCCAACCGATGTAGGATCTCACGTAAAAGGTCCCCGCCCAGTCTTAAAATGCAAAAGGACAAAAGTTAAAACACTTCCCGGAAAAGATATCTTCAAAAGGGAAAAAGAAAACCCTCGGAAAATTTTAGGTTCATGATTGACACGTAAGAAGCAATCAGCAAAAAGCCTGGAAAGAAGAAAATGAGAAGGGGAAAACTCCAAGGGAACACTAACTAATGAACTCTCTTATTCAACCAACCACTCTTGTCTGTTACTTCAATGATAATAGAACATACTGCATATGATCTCCAACATCATCAAGATGTGGACAACGTTGTTTTCTGCAGTAAATTCCGAAACAACGTAACACCGCCAGTAGATTCAACAACAATGCTGGAGAAATAAGAAAGTCGAAGACAACTTGATATACCGACATGTGTACTTTCATGGGGATTTCCAGATGGACCATGGTATTCATAAAATGTAGTGTGTTTTCTAGTGTACAATCTTTTTCTGAGTATTTGTGGGAACTTTGGCATACATTTCATTCAAATTCTATGGACCGTTTTTCTGTACTGTTCTTTTGCCGAACGGCGGGTAACTGGCAGTACGTCCATACGACTAATTTCCAACTGAAAGTTAGCCCATATGTCTTAAGGAGGTTTCACGCTGCCCCCACCGTCGTAAATCTAGGGAGGGGGGAGGAATACTGTAACAGCCCTAGCCCACCGCTAGCAGATATTGTTCACTTTAGTCTTATGTATCACCGTCAGCCTCATAGTTTTAAAACGTGTCTGCTAGGGAGAGATTTTCATACCCTTATAAGGAATGCTTCGTTCCCCTTTCCAACCGACGTGGGATCTCACAATCTACCCCCCTTGGGGGCCCAGTGTTCTCACTGGCATACCGCCTGGTGTCTGGCTCTGATTTCATTTGTAACAGCCCAAGCCCACCGCTAGCAAATATTGTCTGCTTTGGCCCGTTACGTATTACCGTCAACCTCACAGTTTTAAAACATGTCTGATAAGGAGAGGTTTCCATACCCTTATAAGGAATGTTTCGTTCCCCTTTCCAATCGATGTGTGATCTCACAATCCACCCCCCTTGGGGCCCAGCGTCCTCGCTGGCAAACCGTCCAGTGTTTGGCTCTGATACCATTTGTAACAGCTCAAGCCCACCGCTAGCAGATATTGTCTGTGTCTGTTTTGGCCCGTAACGTATTGTCATCAACCTCACAGTTCTAAAACATGTCTGCTAAGGAGAGGTTTTCATACCCTTATAAGGAATGTTTAGTTTCCCTTTCCAACCGATGTGGGATCTCACAATCCACCACTCTTGGGTGCCCAACGTCCTTGCTGGCACACCACCCGGTGTCTAGCTCTAATACCATTTGTAACAGCCCCAAGCCCACCGCTAGCAGATATTGTTCGCTTTGGCCCGTTACATATCGCCGTCAGCCTCACAATTTTAAAATGCGGCTATTAAGGAGAGGTTTTCACACCCTTATAAGGAATGTTTCGTTTCACTCTCCAACTGACGTGGAATCACACATTAGTAAACCAAATGATGTAAAAAAATGTTAGAGGCAGATCACGATGAATGGATTTGTCTAAACAAATATAACCTAGGAAGCATAAAGACTCTATTTTTGGCCGTGTCTTTGTCGACACAAATCCAACGCGCCAAAAAAAACATGTCGAGTATTATATATCTTCTATATATATAATTTGGACACGGGG